AGTCTGGGGACTGAGATGGCCAATCCATAACTGTAATCTTTTTTCTTTTCTTTTTTTATCGGAAATTCCTTCCTAGACTTTGCAGAATGCCGAGGGTCATTGTCCTGCTGGAATACAAACTTCTGAACGATAAACCTTATATTACTGGGTCACAAATGACAGTGCAAAATATATTTATATTTTGTAGCATTTATTGATCCTTCTACAATAAAAGAGTCGTCATTACCTGAAGAAGAAAGTCAAGTCCATATTATCACACACCCTCCATCATGTTTAACACTGGGCATGATGAACGTTTCTTTAAATTCTTCTCCTCTCTTCCTCCAAACATGTTTATGTTTTCTTGATGAAAAAAGTTCTAATTTGATTCGTTTGACCATAAAATTTGGTTGAAGAAATCATTGAGCTTCTTCAAGGTATAGGTACGGCATGGCCAGGTGGTTAGGGCGCTCGACTCGCAATCTGTGGGTCACGGGTTCGAATCCCCGTCACACCAAACATGCTCGCCCTTTCAGCCATGGAGGCGTTATAACGTGACGGTCAATCCCACTATTCGTTGGTAAAAGAGTTGGCGGTGGGTGGTAATGACTAGCTGCCTTCCTTCTAGTCTTACACTGCTAAATTAGGGACGGCTAATGCAGATAGCCCTCGTGTAGCTTTGCGCGAAACAAACCAAACTTCAAGTATTAAATGGAAAACTATACTCGCTTTCCTTTGAGCATCATTTTCATCAAAGGTTTGCATCTTGGTTTTAGTCCATGGATATTCATCTTAAGGTATTATTAAACGGTTTACTTATGAATTTGTCTATATTCTATTATTTCTTGTGTCAGTTTTTTGCAGTAATCTGAGGATTTTGCCGAGCTGCTCTAACAATTCTTTTTTTCAGATTTTTCAGAAATCTTGCTTGTCTCCTATACCTGGAGCTAGTCGCGGTAGTTCCAGTTCTTTGGTGTTTGTCAACACAATGATTTTGACAAACCAAGTTTTTATGTTATCTATTTTTCTGGTAGTTTTTCTTGTTTTGTTTAGTTGTATCATTGCCATTTTGAGATCGTTGCTGTACTCTAATTTTAATCATTTTTGTTGCTTTTTTAGATCACAATCTTACCATTTATTTTCAGCATTTAATGATTATGGATTTATGTATTTTACAGTTATAGTAATGTGTTGGTTTTCAATCATGATAATTGTCAATAATTAACAACGTCTCGATTTCATTCGAAACATGTTTTTGCCTAAACACTTTTGTCAAAGTATAAAATTAGTTTTGCATTTCTTTTTCTTCGTGCTATATAAAATGTTTATCTTATTGTAAAGCTGAATCTTTAATATATATTTTTTCAATAGAACAATTAGAAAGGACATAAATCGCTTTCTTTGATTTCTTTTTTTTTTCAACTGCCCAAATACTTTTATTTGCGACTGTACAAACCAGTCACAGAATCGAAGAAATTTCGACCCGACTCGAGATATTTCTTGTTCAACATACGTTTAAATCTACAACATTAATGTAAATGGCAAACAGTTATGAATTAAAACGAACTATCAACATGGTGAACATCAACTATTTATTAACAGCAAATCTTTTGCAGAACAAATATAAACAAGTTCACAAAAATTCAACACAACGGACTAAGGAAATACAATGTAAATCATTGAAAGGACAAACTACAGTCCATAACGGCATTAACCATACAAATTAGTTTTGTAAAGAGGAAATATGTTGTGTATTTATATGTAACTGCATGAACAATAAATGTATTGTTTTCTTCAAATTATCCACAACGAAGTTATAGGTCATGCATATTTCCCGGAAGATAATTTTAAAATATGCACTTCATTCACACTCGCCTACAAGCCAAAACAGACAAGTAAATATCGTAAGTTGTCTTAATATTATGAACCTGTCTTACAATTTTCATTATTTTTCAAACACATATCAACATTTTATTTCGACCTTTACGATCCAATACGATGTTTTTATGGGGTGAGATAACAATGTTGAAAAATAACTTACAAACACTTTAGCTAAAGCTGTGAGAAGACATCATTAAAAGCATTAATTTTAAAAACAATAAGCAGTAGTTTTTGAAATGGCCTCGAACCTGACGTATGGACTGAGTGTAGTGCGACGAGCTGAGAATGATTATACTCTGTCACATTGGAAGGATAATTATCTGAGCGTGAAACGGAACAGTCATACTGAGCTGTACACAAGGAAATACTCTTAGTTCAAAACAATACTTTCTATCTGGGCAAAAAAAAAAAGATAACGAATACATAATTAAAATCTAATCACCAATGAAATAGTATATATACACACAAAAATATAAACGCTAGTGTTAAAGAATCATCAATGTTTATTTTACAATCACAAACTTGTACGCCTATATATTATATGATAATTAAACAGACAGTCCAAGAGAGCTATAAAGCACGTTTGTATATTGGACATGTAGGCAATAAGTGGTTCTTAACGTGAGAGTAGGATAAAAAACAAAGGAAATTCTTAAACTGGACTTTCCGACGTTAACAAAGAAGGGAAATGGCTTTATATATCGATAATAATTTAATGATTACATGAAATAGAATTAGTTAAACAGCAAAATAAAAATGCTGTAGCAAGAAAATTGCTAATTAACTTGATACGAAGAAAAGAATGATTTAAAAGTTGTCTCGCCAAAAAAAAGTAGACTCAACGAAATAGAAAATATATAACATTGTAAAGATTTATGGGAAGCAAAGGGGTGATTTTTTTTTTTTTGGTACAAGACCAAAGTTTTTCTTATAAGGCAAGCTCACAGTTATAAACATGTATTCAAAGTAAAAGTTATTTAATGTTACGTTGACTAATAGCTTGAGATAAATCTTGTTATTTTGTTGATGAATGAAAGATATATTGAAAGGAAACACACAGATTGAAAGAACTGAATTTAAGATGTTAAATTCTCTATTTGTACTTGTTTTCAATAATAGTGTGGAAAAGATGATTTCATTTCGTTTTATGCAAACATTGTATGAAATATAGTGAATACAATATACGCATATATAAGTAACACGAACTAGTAACAATAACCTTAAAGATCGTTGTATGATATACTTTGACTAGAAACCATTTTATTTAGTCACTTGTTTAAATTATCAACGTGCGAAATTCAAGAAAACCAGAATCACATGTTGCGGTAATACAATACATTTAGTGCTGAACTTAACAGTGTTCTAAACAACACTTCATCAAGTAGTGTTGTAGGTTAAATAACTACATCTTCCATACTTGTTAAACTGTGTAGGGCGTGAACTGACCCTTGTATTTTCCACCTTTTCACACACTGTCCTTCACACAACAAGTTTCCTAACTGACTGAAATGAACCTATCTAGAGTAAGGATAACCGCTTAAAATAACGATACAAAATACAGCTAACCTTAATGTCTTTTAGATGTATTAAAGTTAAATAGACACTTGTGTAAATGTTAGTAACACACAGAAACTGACTTTTATTGGTACACAATAAATATTTAAAAATGAGACAGCCCCCAGTCTCAAAATATAATAAAACATTTACTCAATAATTAAAGTACAAACATCTTGAGACTGGGTACAATCTCATAAACTCAACATGTATTGACATACTACTTCGTCATCGGCAGGAATGCAATATTTTGGAAGATTTATAACATACATACTTTACTGAAGAATTGCGTGATCAAATTTATATGCAAGTTCAGCTTTAATAATTTTACGCCATTTGTTAATAATGCCCCTCTGGCCCTTCATTCCTACTTAATACATTAGAATTATTTTTATCATATTTGATGATTTCAGTAGATTCATGATTATGACTACCGTTAATACACCTAGGTTTATCAAAATAAGTATTCCCCCATGAATTTTGTGTTTAGTTTTATCGGTATATTCGAGTAAAGGCGAGATATTTATTTTTAACATTTCTTTTGCGTTCCTTAAATTTTTTATTTCAAATTTTTTCTAGTTTGTCCTATATAAGTGTTCCCACATTCCAATCTTAAATTATTTACAAGTAAAGGAAAAGCTTTAAAAAAAAAGTAAGTAAATAAAGGGGTGGCTACTACCAATGCTTCAAATACAATGAAAACAAGACAGTAGGGATGGCATTTGCATCATCCCTACATAATAGCAGAGGCAAGAATTAACATACAGCAATATATATAGCTATTCAATAACAATTGAGTTTAATTTATCCTATTTTTGTCTATTAACATTCTACTACACTGTGCGCCTCTGCTATTATGTAGGGATG